TCAGGCTCCACTCAGCCTTTTCTTCTGAAGCTAAACAGATCTGACTCTTTGAATCGCTTCTTCTCAGAGGGATTATTCATCCTTCTAGTCACCCTCTTCCTATGGACCCCTCTTGACCAGTCCAAAACCCATTGACTTTTTAAGCTGCTGCATCATATTGTTCAACTTGTTGTCCACTAAGACTCCAAAATCCTTGACCAGGGCATCACTGGGCACCCAAACATATGTACACATTTATTATTTATTTATTTACAGTATTTATATACCGCCTTTTTCACCCCTGGGGGGACTCAAAGCGATGCAATACATACAAACAATACCGTATTTAGTCCAGTCTAATGTGTGTCTTTTGGGGCTAAAACATATTGCCAAAATTGGGGTGCACATTAGTTTTGAGGATTATGGTAATCTAGGTGCTGAGCTAAGGGGTAAGTTGTTTGAGAAGCACCATGAGGTCACAGTGAAGAGAGAAGGGAGCGGCACCGAGATGGAAGCGACTTGCTTTTAAGACATGTTCTGCCTCCCTTCCCCAAGGTTTGACTGTGATTGAAGCCGAAGGGAGGGCTTGAGAGGCATGGAGTTCCAGAGGTGGGGGGGGGATCACGGAGAAGGCCCTCTCCCTTGCCCCCATCAGCTGTGCTTGAGGCAGCGGTGGGACCAAGAGTAGGGCCTTTAGCTCCTTAGGAGGTAGAAAAGGTAAATAATGCTCTAAATAATGATTTAGAGCAGTGTTTCTCAACCTGTGGGTCTCTCCCCAGATGTTTTGGCCCACAGCTCCCAGAAATCCCAGCCAGTTTAGGATATATGGGAGTTGAAGGCCAAAACATCTGGGGGGACAGAGGTTGGGAACCACTGATTTAGAGCCATTGTGGCATAGCGGTTTGAATATTGGAATTGGAATATTTAGAGACCAAGGTTTGATTTCCTGCTCCATTTAGGGTTGCTATAAATCAGAAATCACTCAAAGGCAAACAACAACAAAAAGATTTGGATAACAGATTAGGAATAAATTGCAGTATGAAAGTCATCAATCATACAGGGCAAATAAAACACGGGGGATATTGGCCTGCCTTATACCTTAACTGACAATAACCCCTCCCCTTATGTCAGAAATTAATTGACTGCAATTATTAATGTAATGCTGTAATTTTTTTTAAAGTGAAATCCATTTGGCCTTTGCAGAAATGTGATATCCAAGACTCAAGGTCTTAATCTTGCCCCTTACTGCAGAAATGTTGTTTTTAAGGACTGATAGTCCCACTTTGAATGGGCTGCAAAGAAACAGAATGTGATGTTTAAGAAAACATCAGAAAGAATGCAGAAGCCCCACTGGCCACATAGGGACCCGGGGGGGGGGGGGGGGGGGGGGGGGGGGGGGGCTTCTACGTTGATACCACCCTTTCCTTCCCCCGAGTAGAAATCCTGCCCACCAGGAGAGTGGCATGAGTTCCGCCCACAATCGAAGGGGCTCCTATAGGGCCTCCCAACTGACCGGACGCTTGCACCTCTCATCCTCTTATCTTTCCCTGCATAGCCTGGGGGTGATGGGAGTTGAACCCCAACAGACCTGGGGGTAATGGGAGTTACAGCTGGCTAGATCTGGCCCCGATGGGATTTGCATCCCATCCTCTGTGCAGGCTCAGATTTAGTCCCACTGCAGGCTTGTGCATGTTGTAAGGGGTTCTTGCAGCTCTCTATCTGCAAGCAGATGAAGACGAGTGTACGCATGCATTTTTGATCTCAAAAACTAGAGCTGATGGGGAAAGTGATGCCCTTTTTAGAGTTGCTGGGTCAAAGAGGGCAATGAACCTGGGAGAGAGGCAACCATGGACACCCCCTCCCACACACACACACGCAGCTTGAGGGTCCCTCCCTGCCACATCCCAAAACTGCAATGGCCTGGTACTGTGGAATCTTGGGAACTGTAGTTTGGTTAGGCAGCAGCAATCTCTGGCAGAGAGAGCTAAATACTTTATTTATTTCACACACTTTTACCCCGCCCTTCTCCCCCCAATCTTCCCCTACAAACCTACGCGATCTCCAAGATCTTCTGGGAAGGCCCTTCTCTTGCTCCCACCCCCGTCACAAGCAAGATTGGTGGGGACGAAAGACAGGCCTCCTCGGTGGTGGCCTCCCAGCTTGGGAACTCTCTCCCCAGGGAGATTAGACTGGCACCCACCTTGTCCACCTTCTGAAAAGAACTAAACACGTGGATGTTCCACTGTGCCTTAGGCCAGATAGTTCCCCAAATAATGCCACTGTTCCCTTTTAGAGACATCATGCTCTTCTTACACTACCCCCAGCTCCTAATTTTGTCATCTGCCTTAGCACTTTATCCATCAACCCTACCCTTTGGCAAGTGATTTGCAGCAGTCACCCATCTGAACTCAGAACTGTGCACTACTCAGACCACTGAAGGTTGTTAGATGTTCCCTATGTATTGTATTCTGAGGGTGTTTTATATTGTTGAAATGTTTTTTGAATTTTGTTATATTTTAACTACATTGAACCTCAGGTTTGTCCCCATGTGAGCTGCTCTGAGTCCCTTCGGGAAGATGGAGGCGGGGTACAAAAATTAAGTTGTTGTTGTTGTTATTGTTATTATTATTATTATTGGGGTGAAAAAATAAACAGCCAATTATGGATCCTCTTGCTGAGCTCAATGTCTGTCTAAAACAGAGATTGTGTTTCCCACATCTGCCATTCCTGACTTGAGTGAAATGTACATTAAGCCTAGCTTAGAGGGGCTGTGATCTCTCCCTTTCTGTCCCACTTTAATATCATGCACGCTGAGATAATGTTAGAGTCCAAGGTGAGTTCACAAATGCGTTTAGTGCTCTGTGTAAAATGCCCTTATGCTTGGAAACCCATAGAGGCAAAGCATCATGGAAATAAACTCTCGGGATACGCCCCGAAAGAAGCATTGCAGTCTGCCTTCAAGGAGACTCAAAGCAGCACCCCTGCCTTCTGGGGAGGCCCTGCTCTCGGTCCCACCAGCTTTGCAAGTGTGGTTGGTGGGGATGAGAGACAGGGCCTTCTCAGTGGTGGCTCCCTGGCTCTGGAGCTCTCTCCCCAATGTGATTAGATCAGCTCCCTCCCTCTTGGCCTTCCGAAAGAAAACAAAGGCACAATTGTGGGCCCAAGCATTTGGCCAGTAAAATAATGCAGTGCAAGGAATAAATAGGGAATATGTGCAATTGATAATTGGAATGGTCCCAGTGTATGATTTTGGATCATGTGGGTTTAAAAGAGGCGGTGGTCTCTCCTTTGCTGAAGAAACCAGATTTAGATCCCTCGGTTCCCTCCAGTTACCGCCCAGTTTCAAATCTCTCGTTCCTGGGCAAGGTGATTGAGAGGGCAGCAGCGGAGCAGTTGCAGCAATTCCTAGACGACACAGCCGGACTAGATCCCTTCCATCCGGCTTCCGTGCGGGGCACGGGACAGAGACTGTGCTGGTCTCCATCACGGATCACCTTCGATGCCAGCTTGACCAGGGTGGGTCAGCGCTGCTTGTGCTATTGGATCTCACAGCAGCATTTGACACAGTCGACCACAATCTCTTGACCCACCGCCTTGCTGTTGCTGGAATCAGGGGGACAGCTTTAAACTGGCTCCTCCTTTCTTCACAACCGTGGACAGCGAGTGGAGAGGGGAGGCCTGGTCTCTGAGAGGTTCCCTCTATCTTGTGGGGTTCCTCAGGAGGCCATTCTCTCCCCTCTGTTGTTTAACATCTATATGCAACCACTTGCTCAGCTGGTTCGAGGTTTTGGGCTTGAGTGTTATCAGTATGCCGATGACACTCAGCTGGTGCTGAAGATGGAAGGCCGACCGGACTCTGTACCCGATTGTTTCCATCAGTGCCTCGAGGCCGTTACTGGATGGCTGCGTGCCAGCAGGTTGAGGGTGAATCCAGCAAAGACGGAGATCCTATGGCTGGGTCGACCGGGCAGTGGGGACATCCAGCTGCCTACCCTGGATGGCGAGGCGTTACGCCCGTCATCATTGGTAAAGAGTCTGGGAGTCCTTTTGGACCCTCTGCTGACAATGGAGGCCCAGGTCTCCGCCGTGAGCAGAACCGCCTTCTTTCACCTGCGGCAGGCTAGACGGCTGGCCCCCTACCTGTCCAGGGACGACCTAGCTACGGTGATCCAGGCCACGGTCATCTCAGACTGGACTACTGTAACGCCCTCTACATTGGCCTCCCTCTGTCGGTGATTCGGAAGCTCAAGTTGGTACAAAACGCAGCTGCTCGGCTTCTTGCGGGAATTCCGATGAGATGCCACATAACACCAATCTTACTACAGCTGCATTGGTTACCAATTGAGCACCGGATCACTTTCAAAGTGATGGTACTCACCTTTAAGGCCTTGCATGGTCTGGGGCCAATGTATCTGAGGGATTGTCTCACCCCCTACCAACCCCAGAGATCCCTCCGTTCTGAGGACCAAGATCTATTGGAGGTCCCCAGTGTCAAGACCTTGCGTCTAACGGCAACCAGACGCAGAGCCTTCACAGCAGTGGCGCCATCAGTCTGGAATGCTCTGCCACCTGAAGTTCGTGCCCTGCGGGACTTACCCGGTTTCCGCAGGGCATGTAAGACATACCTGTTCCGACAGGCTTTTAATGTTTGATACTGTTGTTTTAAATTGTTTTAAATTGCTTTTAAACTTTGTTAGATTTTAGCTATTCTTGTAAGCCGCTCCGAGCCCCAGGGAAGGGAGTGGCCGCATAGAAGTTTAAATAATAAATAAATAAATAAATAAAATGTGAGTTTAATGTTTGTTTTAATTCTATGTCTTCATGTCTAAATGCTGTTTATATTTTATGTCTAATGGTCTCATTGATTTTAATGCATAGTTGTATGTTTCTTGTTTAGATTTTATGTTTTGGTTTTACATGTACATTAAGCATTGAATTTTGCCATTACTATATTGTAAACCACTTTGATTTCCCCCAGGGATGAGAAAAGCAATATATAAATCCAGTAGAGTCTCACTTACCCAACCTTTGCTCATCCAACCTTCTGCATTAGCCAACGCAGTCTGCCTCCCGTCCGGATCCACAGCTGTTTCAATACATTGTGAGTCGCCTAAGGGATGAGAAGGGCAATATACAAATATAGTAAATAAAATAATTTTTGGTGCTAAATTCTTAATTACTGTAAACCTTAAAACATGGCTCTTCTGGTGCGCCTTTGGTGAGTAGTCATACAACCTCACACTATTGCTTAGCCTCAACATTTTGTCATTGGAATATACATTGTCCCACAACCCCTGTTTTAATGAGCCCTCCTCGGCAAATAACCTGGCTTCTCCTTTATCTCACCCAAGTTTTTTAATCGGTTTTTAATTACTCTTTCTTTTAACTATTACATGTAGCCCACCCATTGTCACTGTGATTGTGCTTATTGTAATTTTATATCGTTATGCATTCATATGTTTTATGTAATTATGATGTTGTTTATTGTTTGCGTTTTCGGTTTTATTTTGTTGTAATTTGTTGTTTGGGCTTGGCCTCACGTAAGCTGCCTTGAGTCCACATCGGGGAGATGGTGGCGAGGTATAAATAAAGATTATTATTGTTATTATTATTAATCCCTCCTTATGATCCAACATTTTCACTTATCCAACGTTCTGCCGGTCCCTTTAAGTTGGATAAGTGAGAGTCTCCTGTACAGTAAATAAATAAATGGATGTGCTTCTGGGTTGTGATTCTGAGAGGGAGGTCTTCCCTCTCCCTCACTTCTCTTCCCAGCAGAACAAGGGTGAGGAGGCAGAGGGGAGTGCAATCATGGACGCACTTGGACCTTCCCTCCCTCCAGGTGTTTTGGATTTCAACTCCCACAATTCCCCACAGCCTCAGGCCCCTTCCTTTTCTCCTTCAGGCGCTTCAGTTTGCCCATACCTGGGGGAGTGGCTCTTGGACAACAGGGCAACGTATGCATGTATTTACTCCCTTTCTATCCCATTCTATCTGACCCTAAAGGGGAGTCAAGGGTGGCTCACAGTTTGGCAGTATTAAATGCCGCATAAACAAAGCCAATATAAAACACAATAAACACAATAGCAATAAAAACAAAGACATATAATGACAATAAATACAGTTAGAACATGAAACAGAGTCCTAAAGCCATCCTTTGTGCTGCTATAATAATAATAATAATAATAATAATAATAATAATAATAATAATAATAATAATAACTTTATTTGTACCCTGCTACCATCTCCCCAAGGGACTTGGTGCGGCTTACATGAGGCCCAGCCCACAATACAACAATAAAACAATAGCAACAGTAATACAAAACAATAAACTCATAAGCAGAAAATAAGTAATAAACATTGACAATAACACGACAACGTTTAAAAACCTATGGCTGGGCCAAATGCAATAATTAAAATTTAAAAAATAATGCTGGGCATGACCAGGTGACATATAACTAGGATAGAAGTTTTGGAGAGAGCGGGGAAAGGAAGGGTCTTGAGGCCAGGAATGGTGGGAGTTGGAGTCCAAAACACCTGAAGGACCAAAGTGAAGAGGCTGAGGAGGGAAAGGAAGGGGCCTGAGGCCAGGAATGGTGGGAGTTGGAGTCCAAAACACCTGAAGGACCAAAGTGAAGAGGCTGAGGAGGGAAAGGAAGGGGCCTGAGGCCAGGAATGGTGGGAGTTGGAGTCCAAAACACCTGAAGGACCAAAGTTATGAGTCTGAGGAGGGAAAGGAAGGGGCCTGAGGCCAGGAATGGTGGGAGTTGGAGTCCAAAACACCTGAAGGACCAAAGTTATGAGTCTGAGGAGGGAAAGGAAGGGGCCTGAGGCCAGGAATGGTGGGAGCTGGAGTCCAAAACACCTGAAGGACCAAAGTGAAGAGGCTGAGGAGGGAAAGGAAGGGGCCTGAGGCCAGGAATGGTGGGAGTTGGAGTCCAAAACACCTGAAGGACCAAAGTGAAGAGGCTGAGGAGGGAAAGGAAGGGGCCTGAGGCCAGGAATGGTGGGAGTTGGAGTCCAAAACACCTGAAGGACCAAAGTTATGAGTCTGAGGAGGGAAAGGAAGGGGCCTGAGGCCAGGAATGGTGGGAGCTGGAGTCCAAAACACCTGAAGGACCAAAGTGAAGAGGCTGAGGAGGGAAAGGAAGGGGCCTGAGGCCAGGAATGGTGGGAGTTGGAGTCCAAAACACCTGAAGGACCAAAGTTATGAGTCTGAGGAGGGAAAGGAAGGGGCCTGAGGCCAGGAATGGTGGGAGCTGGAGTCCAAAACACCTGAAGGACCAAAGTGAAGAGGCTGAGGAGGGAAAGGAAGGGGCCTGAGGCCAGGAATGGTGGGAGTTGGAGTCCAAAACACCTGAAGGACCAAAGTTATGAGGCTGAGGAGGGAAAGGAAGGGGCCTGAGGCCAGGAATGGTGGGAGTTGGAGTCCAAAACACCTGAAGGACCAAAGTTATGAGTCTGAGGAGGGAAAGGAAGGGGCCTGAGGCCAGGAATGGTGGGAGTTGGAGTCCAAAACACCTGAAGGACCAAAGTGAAGAGGCTGAGGAGGGAAAGGAAGGGGCCTGAGGCCAGGAATGGTGGGAGTTGGAGTCCAAAACACCTGAAGGACCAAAGTTATGAGTCTGAGGAGGGAAAGGAAGGGGCCTGAGGCCAGGAATGGTGGGAGTTGGAGTCCAAAACACCTGAAGGACCAAAGTGAAGAGGCTGAGGGGGGAAAGGAAGGGGCCTGAGGATAGGAATGGTGGGAGTTGGAGTCCAAAACACATGAAGGATCGAAGTGAAGAGGCTGAGGGGGGAAAGGAAGGGGCCTGAGGATAGGAATGGTGGGAGCTGGAGTCCAAAACACCTGAAGGACCAAAGTTATGAGGCTGAGGAGGGAAAGGAAGGGGCCTGAGGCCAGGAATGGTGGGAGTTGGAGTCCAAAACACCTGAAGGACCAAAGTTATGAGTCTGAGGAGGGAAAGGAAGGGGCCTGAGGCCAGGAATGGTGGGAGTTGGAGTCCAAAACACCTGAAGGACCAAAGTGAAGAGGCTGAGGAGGGAAAGGAAGGGGCCTGAGGCCAGGAATGGTGGGAGTTGGAGTCCAAAACACCTGAAGGACCAAAGTGAAGAGGCTGAGGGGGGAAAGGAAGGGGCCTGAGGATAGGAATGGTGGGAGCTGGAGTCCAAAACACCTGAAGGACCAAAGTTATGAGGCTGAGGAGGGAAAGGAAGGGGCCTGAGGCCAGGAATGGTGGGAGTTGGAGTCCAAAACACCTGAAGGACCAAAGTTATGAGTCTGAGGAGGGAAAGGAAGGGGCCTGAGGCCAGGAATGGTGGGAGTTGGAGTCCAAAACACCTGAAGGACCAAAGTGAAGAGGCTGAGGGGGGAAAGGAAGGGGCCTGAGGCCAGGAATGGTGGGAGTTGGAGTCCAAAACACCTGAAGGACCAAAGTGAAGAGGCTGAGGAGGGAAAGGAAGGGGCCTGAGGCCAGGAATGGTGGGAGTTGGAGTCCAAAACACCTGAAGGACCAAAGTTATGAGTCTGAGGAGGGAAAGGAAGGGGCCTGAGGCCAGGAATGGTGGGAGCTGGAGTCCAAAACACCTGAAGGACCAAAGTGAAGAGGCTGAGGAGGGAAAGGAAGGGGCCTGAGGCCAGGAATGGTGGGAGTTGGAGTCCAAAACACCTGAAGGACCAAAGTGAAGAGGCTGAGGAGGGAAAGGAAGGGGCCTGAGGCCAGGAATTGTGGGAGTTGGAGTCCAAAACACCGGAAGGACCAAAGTTAAGCATCTGAGGGGGGAAAGGAAGGGGCCTGAGGCCAGGAATTGTGGGAGCTGGAGTCCAAAACACCCGAAGGACCAAAGTTAAGCTGAGGGGGGAAAGGAAGGGGCCTGAGGCCAGGAATGGTGGGAGTTGGAGTCCAAAACACCTGAAGGACCAAAGTTATGAGTCTGAGGAGGGAAAGGAAGGGGCCTGAGGCCAGGAATGGTGGGAGTTGGAGTCCAAAACACCTGAAGGACCAAAGTGAAGAGGCTGAGGGGGGAAAGGAAGGGGCCTGAGGATAGGAATGGTGGGAGTTGGAGTCCAAAACACATGAAGGATCGAAGTGAAGAGGCTGAGGGGGGAAAGGAAGGGGCCTGAGGATAGGAATGGTGGGAGCTGGAGTCCAAAACACCTGAAGGACCAAAGTTATGAGGCTGAGGAGGGAAAGGAAGGGGCCTGAGGCCAGGAATGGTGGGAGTTGGAGTCCAAAACACCTGAAGGACCAAAGTTATGAGTCTGAGGAGGGAAAGGAAGGGGCCTGAGGCCAGGAATGGTGGGAGTTGGAGTCCAAAACACCTGAAGGACCAAAGTGAAGAGGCTGAGGGGGGAAAGGAAGGGGCCTGAGGATAGGAATGGTGGGAGTTGGAGTCCAAAACACATGAAGGATCGAAGTGAAGAGGCTGAGGGGGGAAAGGAAGGGGCCTGAGGATAGGAATGGTGGGAGCTGGAGTCCAAAACACCTGAAGGACCAAAGTTATGAGGCTGAGGAGGGAAAGGAAGGGGCCTGAGGCCAGGAATGGTGGGAGTTGGAGTCCAAAACACCTGAAGGACCAAAGTTATGAGTCTGAGGAGGGAAAGGAAGGGGCCTGAGGCCAGGAATGGTGGGAGTTGGAGTCCAAAACACCTGAAGGACCAAAGTGAAGAGGCTGAGGGAGGAAAGGAAGGGGCCTGAGGATAGGAATGGTGGGAGCTGGAGTCCAAAACACCTGGAGGACCAAAGTGAAGAGGCTGAGCTGGAGTCCAAAACACCTGGAGGGAGGGAAGGCCCAAGTTGGCCCAGGCCTGCTTAAGAGGCTGAGTGGAGAAAGGAAGGGGCCTGGGGCCAGGAATGGAGGGCTGGAGGGCCCAAGTTGGGCCAGGCCCGGGCGGCCTCCGAAGGTTCCACAGCAGCCGTGCCTTTCCTCCTTTCCCCCTGAAAGCCAGGCTTTGAGCCTCGAGGCCCTCCCACACAGCCATACCGCGTCCACACGGCCACCACCTAACCCGGTTCAGGGTGGATTCCCCCCAGCTGTGTGGAAGGAAGGAAGGAAGGGCGGGCCTCCACACTCGTGATGGCGAGGGCACACCGCCACCCCCCACCCCCACTATCCCCTTCTAGGCCGCGGCCT